ACCTTCAACTCCTCCATTTTACTCTTGAAGTAAGTGATGAACTAATAGTGCCAAACTGCATCTCACAAGCATTCAGTGTGACTTGCTTAGCAGACTGACACCATTGTGCTGAGCTGGGAGACACCGGTCAAAACCAAGACAGAAAGAGTCCCGTCTTTACAACCTCTTCCTTAAGAGACCATAATTCTGGACACAGACTTTGGAACACAGAGTGAGAGATCCATTAGTTTACGCTCTTTTCCTCCCGCAGGGAGCAAGAGGACCCAATGGCTCAGTTGGTGAAAAGGTAAAAGCGAATTTTTTTCCCTGCTCCTTCTTCCCTTTTCTTTGAGTTTTCTATAATGAGGCTATTGGGCTGGAGCACTGAGCATATAAATGTCATGGAGCGGAGAGAAACCCATCACAGAGGGATTGCTCGGGGAAGGCAGAGCAGCTGGGGAAGGTGGGGAGTAAATTCCCGTCGGTGTTCTCCACATCCCTCCCTATTAATGCCGTCAACGAACACATCAGCTTATCTCCAAGTGAAATGTCAATGAGCGAGACAGCTGGTTCTGTGCCATTAAGCAGTGCCTATCAGAGAATCCATCAACCTAATTAGGTTCAAAGAGCGATTTTCTGACTCACATGTGTGTCGTTCCTTCCATGAGTGAACCCAGGGCTGGGTAATCAGGCTGTCTTCTTCCTTTCAGGGTGACCCTGGCAACAGAGGCTTACCAGGACCACCAGGGAAAAACGGACAAGTGGGCACTCCTGGAGTCATGGGACCTCCAGGGCCTCCCGGACCTCCTGGACCTCCAGGCCCTGGCTGTACAGAGGGGCTTGAATTTGAGGTACTTCACCCTTCACTGTGGTTGAGGCATGATGTATACTGAGAGCCGCTGGAAAGATCAACTGACTGAATGCTGCCGAGGGCAGGGGCTGTGCTGGCTCCCCCCTCCACGCCCCAGCTCTTGATGTCTCACCTTCAACTGACTGACTGCTGCCGAGGGCAGGGGCTGTGCCGGCACCCCTCCACGCCCCAGCTCTTGATGTCTCACCGGGCTCAAGTAGATAGATGCTCAGGAAATGGATCTTCAAATCTCATCCTTCCTCCCTCCCTAGGATAACGAAGGCTCCGGAGGTATCAGGCTGTTGCATGAACCCAGAATCTCCGGACCGACAGCTGCAAGTGTAGGTTGACAGGTTAACGTTTGAAACCGTCGTTAGGATTGTCATGCAGTTATGCTTGAGAGAGGAGTCCGTGGGGTGCTGTTCTGACTCTGTTACTGTCTTTTTTTTTTTAATTAAATTTATTTATTTTACGTTCATTCATTGAACATCATCACAGCGTACAAAATGCAATTTCCCATCCAGAATACACTGTGTGGTGGCTTACTCATACATGTTATCATCAACAAATAATTTTCCATTTCTTGTTTCTTAAATATATATGTATATATATTTCCCCATCACCCTCTGCCATTTCCCACTCTCCTCCCACACCGTTTCTGGAATCTACCGTTGCTTTCCATTCCTTTCCCACCCGTCCCCCACATTTTACTGATTCACAAAATATCCTAATTAATCTATCTACGTTCAATAGCAAGTTCAGCTGATATATACAGATCTGTGAACACACTGTTACTTTTAGTAGTTCACCCTCTCTGTGCCTGCAGCCCCCAGCTGTGCAGTGGGGGCACAGAGCACCTTTTACCGCTTCTTTCTCTGAGGGGCAGCACAGACGTTTTGCAGAAAATCAGAAATGTTCTTCCTCTTCATCTGTTTCTCTCTCTTCTCCTCTCTAGTCTTGCCTTCAAGCATCACTGCTTCGTCACCTCCCTCTTGCTGCCCCACTCAGTTCCCACACTTTGCCCCATTTCAAAACCCTGGCTCCTGACAGGTGCATCCCTCCCAAGCCCCCTTTCACCACTGCCTCTAGCCCCCAGCGGGAGTTGTGCATCTCCCTCACGATGCCTGTGCTCACCAAGAGCAGCCCCCGGGATCTCATTACGTTTGACAAATGGGGCCCAGAGCTGTGAACCCCAGTCCCAAAGGGAGTGTCACTCCCCCCTCCTATGATCAAATGTGCAGATGTCTCCCCTCCCCAGGGGCGGAGGGCTCTGAGATTTGAGTCAAGAGGACCCCCACCAGCAGCTAGGTGAGGGCCTCCGATTCTCCCGCACTCTGGGAGAGTTCATTCTGACCCTGAAGGGGAATTTGCCCTTCGGCCTTTGCTCTCATTGCCTGGCCCAGAATCCATGAGGACTCAGGGAGAGAGGCAAGACATCAGGATAGATGGGGAGTGAGCAACGTGAACAGACGCTAAAGAATATTCATTGACATATTTGTTTATTTTCCCAGGGTCCCAAAGGAGAAAAAGGAGACCAGGGGGCCAAGGTAAAGCCACAGACCTGTGGTGGGGGTGGGAGGACTTTCCCGCCTAGCCTAGAAGCGCTGCCCATGTGCAATGACTATCTTTCACCTCTCGCTGTTGTAACCAGGGTGATAGGGGGATGGACGGAGAAAGCATTGTGGGACCTCCTGGGCCCCGAGGACCACCTGGGCGCATTGAGGTCTTGTCTAGTGTAAGTATCATCCAGGTCAGAGCTCACCTATGTATTTTCTACCCTTTCTTTTTCCTTTTTATAGGTGTTAAAAAATTATTATTTAATTTTATTAATTACTATTATTGTTTTTTAATTTGACGAGAGAGAGACACAGAGAGAGAGAAAGTAAAAAAACAAGGCTCTTCGTCCAGGACTATAACCGTAGTCAGCCATGTGGGAGTCCAGAGCCCCAACCATCATGCTACCTGCTGGCCCCATTCTCTGCCTTTCCTACAGGGAGAAGAAGGTTGGCCACGATTTCAGGGCTGCTGGGTATGCAGGGGGTGCATAGGTGGCATCAGTGTTGGGCTGTCACCTGCCCGTCCGTCCTACCCTACTACCCCTGTTCCCTCACATGGTGCTTCCAGAACCCTCTCTTTTGGTTGGCAGCATTTGAGGTCAACTCAAAAAGCAGCCTAGGAGCATTGGAAGTGCTGGGGTCTCGAGGAAGCACCAAATAATCAGCACCTCTATTTCCCAGCCAGGTTCTTACACTTGAGAAATAAAGCCAAAGATGAAGACATAGGCTCAGAAACCACCTTTACTACCGATGGTTACACTGAAGACCTTGGCCCAGTGGGAGAACCAAATATTCCTGCTAATTGACCAATGCACCCAGCAGCTCCTGGGTGTGCTTCCTAGAGGTGGCAGATCTGGGAGTAGGAAGGATAGTACTGAGCAAGCATGCCCATTCGTGCCCCAAACTGCCAATCAGGGTGTGCCTCCCCCTCTCCAGGGGCCAGGGAAAGTCACAGGTTACACTAGATAGTGTCCTTAACATCAAAGGTAACATCTTTGTATGGGCCCTTTGGGCAGCTCTTTGACAGTCTGGTAAAAGCAAAACTGTCCATCCTCCAAAATTCTTCCTATGTGTATGGGAAGATCTCCACATGAGTGGGGAGCGTCTCGCCTTCCCCTTCGGTGCTCGTCAGCGGAGAGGGCAGGAATGTGTGATTTTGACGCCATCATTGCACAGCAGTGGGCTGTCCAAGTCATCGCCTCCACTTGACCCGGGCTCCTTCCCTTCCCTTTACCCCCGTCGCCGTGGCCGCTGGCACACAGTGCAGGCTCAGTCACGGTTGTGTTGCTGAATGAAACACTGGTGTCATTTAATTCTCGTCTCATACACTCTGTGTCAGGGCCCACGCCAGGCCTGTGGGTACAAGGGTAAGACAGACGCAGTTCCCACCTTTGGGGAGCCTCCAGTGCAGTCAGGAGAATGGCTGGAACCGAGAGGCAGAGGACCCAAGTGGGAGACAAGGGAGGATGTGAGAAGTCAAGGAAGACTTTTTGGAGGAAGTGCCTTTGAGCCAGGACTAGAAAGTGGGGAATGATTTTACCAGTTAGGCATGAAGTTCCAGAGTTCAGATGACAGGACCCCTGAACCAAAGATACAGAGAACTGACTGAGTAGCCGGCACAGAGCTGGTGGAGAGCGATGGGAATTTCAAGAAGTAAGACAAAGTGGGTGTGCCCAAGATACAGAGAACTGACTGGGTAGCTGGCACAGAGCTGGTGGAGAGCGATGGGAATTTGGAGGCTTGAATGCAGGCGGGCACCAGATCATGGTCCACTTAATACCAGGACATTGCATTTATGAAAAATTGTAGCCCTTCTGAGAGAAATAATACACACTGACAGACGATGGAAAGAGTGAACTGGGAAAAGATGATCAGAGTTAAAAGAGAAAAAGAAAGTATGCTTTAAAAATAGCAAGTATGGGGCCATCCTGTGGCATGGTGGTTAAGGCAGCTGATCCCACACAGCTGACTGCATGGTTCAAGTCCTAAATGGGGTGGCTGGAAAAATGCTTTGAGTACATGTGCTTGTGTGCCCAAAATCCTAAGAGGAGAATGGAGGAGAAGGGACTGAGGCATGGCCATTCCCCTGGCAGGGGTGCTTTCTCACTTTCCTCTCCCCATTTCTCTTTGGCAAGTACATATATTCTCTGACAAAATTAAGAACATAAAGATCAATGTGGGTAAGGATGTGGAGCAAAAGGTAATCTTGGGGACTTTTGGTGGAAGTGTGAATTGTATGGCCCCTTTGGACGGCTCCTTGGCAGTCCATAGAAAACTGAAAATACTCACACTCCCAGACCTCACACAATATGGGAAAGATCTCCACACGGAATGTGGAAAAAAGCGAGTTGAGGAATAATATGTACGTCCTGATGCCATTTATGTAAAATAACCACATGGACAAACACATAGACCAACATCATATGCATTCTGTGGGTGCGTATTATATACATATTTATGTTTAAAATTTTTAAAAGGGAGAAGACATTTATGTATTGTGTAATTTTAAATTTAATTAAAAGAGGGAAATGATAAGGCCACCCAGGGCTGATTTGGAAGTGAGAGGGGCGGATGTGCTTGGCAATGGGTTGAAGGTGTTACCGACGTCTGCAGTGCTCTGCCACACTGGGTGGCTTCAGTTAAAGCCTCCTGGCCAGAACCAAGGCAGAGCACGTGCCATCGTTTGTCCTCATTGTCTGATTTTTCTCTTTTCAGTCTTTGATCAACGTCACCCAGGGATTCATGAATTTCTCGGACATCCCTGAGCTCGTGGGTCCTCCGGTTCGTATCCTCAGCTACCCTCAAGTGTGGTTCCTACCCAGATGTCTCTGTTGAAACCAAGTTGGGTTGGTTTGGAATCCTTTTAGCTCTGAAAGCATAAGGCTAGAATGTATCAGAGTGGATGGAAAGAGAGCTTCACAATTTTGAAAAATTGCTCTCACATCGATTTGACCATGTGGAGAGTTTTGTCCAATGCAGTGGAAGCTTCCAGTCGTATGCACTAGAAATATGTGTAATACAAACCCATGAGTCCAACTAGCAGGACACATTGAGGTCTGTGCAGTGCTTTGCCCAGCCCCTTTTTATGCCATCTCTTTCCACAGAACAGGAGGGGCCTATAGACACCTCTCCTTGTGCAAGCGGGGGAACTGGAGCACGAGGAGGGAATGTGGCTTACTTCAGTCTCTCTAGCCTCATTTTAGAGACCAAGAACTAACACATCAACAAGTCACATTATTCCTGCAAGTCTGCAGAGCTGGCCAACGGCACCACAGGGCCTACGAGGAAGGAAGCTTCCTCCTACAGCTGTGTAAAAAGCGATTTCATTTTCCAGCACCTGCTTTGTGATAGCTAGGGAGAGAAGAAAGAGCTCTGGCCCTGGGGTTCCAGTTCCATCTCCACCTCGCACCACTCTGAACCTCTGATTCTCTTCTCTGATAGCACTCACCAGCCCGGGCGGCTTTTAGAGGTGGGGGATGTGAGGCTGCTTTGCACTGTGGCACTGTGTACCTGTCACCATGGAGACAGAGGCTTACACTTGCACAGCTGTGCAATCCAGATGTCTTTTGGTGCCACCCACCACTGCAGATCCCAAGGAGGCTGGCCTAAACTTCCATCCATCCACATCTTGGGGAAAATCCACAGATCACCCTAAGGTTCTGCCTACACCCTGGGAGGTTCCTCTGGTGCCAGACTGCTCATCTGCTGAGGGTCATCTTCCTGCCTCTTCCATTCTACCTCCAACAGGGCTTCCTTCCTTGATTCCTACTAAGACAATCCCAGACACCCCAATAATCAGATCCTAAAGCACACCAGCTAGCAAATAAAATCCATTCCCGGATGAGCTTTGCTTTTTTCCAAATTGTAGGAGGCTTAGGCCATTAGGTGTGTTGATACTGAAACAAAACACAGATGGCCTAAATTAGGATAGTGAACATATCTGTTCTAATAGTCCCTGGGCCTGGACAGCCTGCATTACCATGCTTCCACTCCAACTTCTACTCCATACTTCCTTCCCAATCCCAGTGAAGAATCCATCCCTCCATCCCTCCATGGCCCCTTCATCCCCAATACTGGATCGAGTTTTTTCCTATTCAGAAGCAGTTCCCTTTTGAGAGGACTCCAGTTCTGGTTGTCACCCTTACGATTTTCCACCCCAACATATATATTTATACATATATAAACAAACACATGTATATATGTATATATGTGTGTGTGTACACACACATGCACACACACACACACACAAATGTGGTGAGAAACTTGTCTATATCTAGTTATCTCTCTGTACATTATATTCAGCCAAATTCACATGCCTTTAACAGCTACAGGGGCCTAGGGTTGGCAGGAAGGGAAGTCCTGGCCCACTGTAGAGTGAAGTGCAAGCTCTCTGTGTCCTGGGTCTTTTAAAATCACTCGTCCTTCAAAATTCTCACTCCTACTAAGGGAAAAGAACTGAGTCCCACCAACACACATCACTTCGACTCCACCCAGCTCATCCTGTGAGCCTCGGAGCATATTACTGATATCCCGAGTGGTGCATTCATCGCCCCCGGAGAGTTTAAACACTGAGCAATTTCATGGCCGAAGAGGCTGTGACAAAGTGCAGAGTTCTGGATCCCTGAGCACAATTTCTGCCTCAGGCATTAACTAGATGTGTGAGTCTACCTGTGTGTCCTTCCTCTCTGCAGGCCTTAGCATCCTTCTCTGCAAAATGGAGTAGTGAGCCCAGCCTTGTGGGAACATACTCAGGCCTTTAGAAAGTGCTGGTAGGGAGTGGGCCCCCAAGGCAGGGTATCCCTACCGACTCCAGTGGTGCTGCTCCTGATCCTGCCTTGTCTTTGGTGTGTCACAGGGGCCGGATGGTATACCTGGGCTGCCAGGGTTTCCAGTAAGTACCACAATCACTACCTTCCGCCTATGCCCTGTGGCTATGCTTTTTCTGTTCCTCCTACCTGAAATGACATTTTCCTCTATCTGCACGACCAAGCTCCAGCACTGCCTTGTACATTAAGCTTTTCTCATTGCTCCCACCTGGAAGCATCCCCGTCCTTGAAACCCACAGAGCTTTATTTTTACCTCTCCTGTGGTTCTTTTCTGCCTTAAGTAACAGTTATTTGTGCCCTTATCTTTTTTAAATTTTTTTCCTCAACTGTTCTACTAATAGCTTGTGGAGGGTTGGGTCTTACCTCTCTTTTCCTGGCACCAACCAAAGCCTGAGTCAGCAGCTGATGACCTATGAATGGGAGTGGATCAGTCAGTCATTTCAAGGAGATAAAGTCCCCGTGGATAAAGTCCCTAAAGAGAGAGGATGGGGAGGAAAGGGAACCATGGACAGAAGTCCAACAACAGTAGTCTGTGTGCACCACTACGGGGCATTCAGCGTGGAAGGTGAAATGCATTTCTCTGTAGAAAGTCATTCATTTTGCCTAAAAGTTTGAGCTTGTACTAGAGCCCAAGGGCAGGTCCCAAGGTAGGACCAGCGTGATTTCCCTAAGATGCTGCAGCTCTGAAGGCCAACAGGTCACACGCACTGCTTCCAAAATAAATGAAGGAAGTTGATCAGAAACATGAGGGAACTGTATTCTTGAGGGTGGAAGTAGGTGATCTCTTTTCCTATTTCTTTATACTTTCCTAAATTTTTTATACTTCCTCAAGGAGCATATCCTAGGATGACACTACAAATACGTGCTAACTAGACACTCAAACCGGAGAGAATGGCTAGCAGAAGAACTCTTGGTTAGCAGAAGAGGCCCAGCCCAGTGAAGTCACTCAAAACCCAGAGTACATTCTCCTCTAAATGAATTGCTCTGTGTTCTTCAGGGAGCCCCAGGCTCCTCTAAAGGGCCTTCAGGCCATGGCAGGTAGTAAGGACCTATAAGGGTCATGTGAGAGGCCCAGTTTAAATCCTGGATTAACCTGAACATGTTGAGCACAACCGTGCACATACTTAAGAGTCCATGATCCTGGCTGGCTGGGGGCATCGTGGTATGGCAAGATCCTGTCAAGGGTGTCTGTCTGTCTGTCTCACAGGAAATAAATTCAATATGGCATGCTGTGGTGCAGTAATGCATTGCAGTAATGCACTGCTCTGCGAGGCTGAAGCCATATAGGAAGGTCCCAAGTTTGCATCCAGAGGTTAGCCTGTACACACTGGGCTCACCACACATGACTGTGATCCTGGCTGGCCTAGCCTAGGGTTGTGGGTTGTGGTGTGAAAGCTCTGTGGGGGATGCCTGTTTCTCCTTGTCTCTGTCTCTCTCATCAAAGAAATAAACTTTTTTTAAAAAGAAAGAAAACAAACTGAAAAACAGGTCTCCTCTGGCTGGTAAGAGAATCTGACTCTGCTAGGAGGTGGATGGGCAGCCCTGCAGGTGGATGGCAGAGGGGTTAGTGTAGAGATGAAGGGAAGGAGTTGGCCCTGGAGTGCTAAGGTGAGGCTGAGCTGGTTTGGGTGTCCGGCTGGGAGATTTGGACCTCATGTCATAGGTAGTGGGAAGCCAGAGAAAGGGTGGAAGTCATGGAGCGGGTAAGGTGGGGAGACGGGCTATAGGATGGCCTGGAGAAGCTGTGGGGAGAGGCAGGGCTGTAGGGCCAGATAACAGGAAGTTTCAGTAGTTCCCGGGAGGAGGGAACCAATGTACAGAGAGCCTTCCCAATACTCAGTGCGTCTTATTCTCCCCACATCACAATATCCGGACTTCTTAAAGTTAAGAAAATAACGCAGCTAATCATGACTTCCACCAGCCTGGGGAATAGCACTCTGTACTCCACTTTTTGAGGGAAAGAAAAATGTTTCCAATTGGTGAAATCATTTTAATTTTAGCAAACAAAATACTGTCCATTGATTCCTTCCAGGGCCCTAGAGGACCAAAAGGTGACACTGGTGTGCCTGGATTTCCGGGACTGAAAGGAGAACAGGTAAGAGGGGTCACACATCCAGGTGGGACCCTGCTCTGGAATTTGCTAAATGTTTCAAATTGACTGAAATAGTTGTTAACTTTTTTCTTCTTTGAAATGCAATTTGCATACCATATAACTGTACAATTCATCTTTTTAGTAGATTCACCCAATCATGCAATCATCTCCATAGTCTAATTCTAAAACATTTCCATCATGCCAAAAAGAAGTCCCACTGGACCAGCTGGTAGTATAGTGGTTAAGGTGCTGCATTCCCACATGGTAGACCATGGTTTAAGTCCTGGGCCAGGCTTGAAAATCATGCCAGGAGTGTGTGGGGGAATGTGAAATCTCAAGAGGAGAATGGAGGAGAAAGGATTGCAGTGTGGCCACCCTCCCTGGGGCGTAATTTCTCTCTCTTTCTCTCTGACTCTGTCTGGCTTGTGCATATAAACTATGGCAAAAATCTAGAAAACAAAGGAAAAAAAGAAAGAAATCCCATACTTACTAGCAGTCACTGTTCAGCTGTTAAGTTGTATAATCTCCTGGTTCCTCCTTGATGAGAGTACAGTATGGGTGGTGAAATTCCACCAGAATTTGAAAAGACAATGCAATCCCCTTTGACTGCTGTTACGGCTTGTGCTGTACTTTGACTAGTACCTGTTGAGCACTCCCTGAGGACAAGCTTCGTGCCAGTTTCTCTTCTGTACCTCTGGTACTAGCACAGGGCCTGGTACACACACAACACTCAAACACCCGCTGGATGACAGAGTGTATTATAATGGCTAAAATAAATACTAACATTTAGAAATGGTAAGGTGGGGCATTCTGCAGTCGCATGACAGCCTTGGTTCAGAATCTTTGGAATAAACACCTAGCAGTCAGAGCACTGCCTGGGACCTCCCCAGTTGTAGAACTGACCTTTGTTCCCTTCCACCTTTGCCACTTTGAATTAACTTCCCAGTTGGTTACTGTAGGCAGGGAGCAGGTGACATCCACAAACAGATTGCACACTCTGGACTGGATTCAGTTACTTATCCGTCCATTTATGTCCTCATCAGTCTTGCTGCCATCGATCCCCTAAGGTGTGCCAGAGAGTTTTTGCACTTGGCACTAGGGATGCAGAAGCAAGAGAGCAGGAACAGACTTGCAAAGGGCTGACAGGGAAGGTGGGCTCTGCTGTGATGGATGTCTGCATTAGAGCCACTAGGAGCCCTGTGCAGCCCCCGTGCCTGCCTTGAGGAGCCAGTAAGGGTGTGAGCTCTGAGAGGAGGGGAATTGGGCTCTCCTTTCTCCCTCCTCCCACCATTCCACACTGGCCTCCAAGGTGGAGGAGAGAGGCTGCAGCTTCTGTTGGGACTCTGATCCAGGGGGTGGAGGGCTTGGTATCCTGGGCAGTGGTTGGCACCACAGGACGGGGTGTCTTGGGATGATTTTGCTTCCACAGACCTAAAGAGATGGAATGGAGTCAGGGCAGCTCTGATTTGGGAGGAGCCTGGTCAGACATGAGCAGTTTAGAGGGGTCTAGAGGGACCAAAATGGCACCTCTGCCCCTAATCCCATGACACGACTGGGATGAGCACCCCGGCAACTCTGCTCCAGTCCTTCCATCAAATGCGCTTTCTCTCGCTCTGCCTCTAATACTTTTGTGCTTGCTTCTTCTTGCTGCTAGCGGGCTCAGGACTGCCTTTCCTCATCGGCGGAGTGGTAAGACCCAAATATCAGCTGTGGGCTTAAGGGCTAGAGACAAGGCTGCTCTGCTTGCTTTGGTACCTCTGCTCTGGCTGCTTCCAGCCCTGTTGAAAGGAGACTTCAGCGTGGCCCTGCCCAGCTCCAAGGGGCCAGCACTGAAGTTTGGCACCAAGGCCTTGGAGACGTATAAAAGGTTCTCTACCTAGCTTTGTTCTCTGGACGTATATCTCAGAAGCCTCCTGGGGTAGTAGGTGGTTCTGTTTGGGACAGGATTAAGAACAGGGCTCTATGTCTTGCCACCAGTCTCCCCATCTCCTATTTTCTCACCTCTGAGATAGTTTTGCCCAACCAAGTGTTTGGACAGGAGCATGGCTTTTGGAGGTAAAGTTGCACATGGAGATACAAGGTTTTCACCTCCATATCTTTCTCAATTGCAGATATATTAATAAGAATAAAGGATTCTTGATAAGAACAGATTTCAAGTTGAGTTTTTAGGAAAGCAAGCCATTCAATGTGTTAGGAGCCAGAGGTTCTGGGAGTGTGCCAGGCAGGACCACGTAGGGGTTGAATCCTGGTGGGTCGAGAGGGAGGATGCAGTGGGAGCCCCTCAGGGGTGAGGAAGAACATTCCTGGGCTCTAGGGCAGTAACCCTGATGGAGCATGGAGAGGATAGTGGAGAAAACGTTCAGTCACCTATGAGGCTGTTGGAATACTCTTAACAGGAAATAGCAGGTTGGGTGGGTGGGCTGAAGCCAAGAAAACTCATGGTGGCAGGACTGAGAGAGCTTCACGGCTCTCTGGACAAGGTGGCAGAAGGAAACCCAACTTCATCAAAAGGTTCTCTGAATTGCAGGGTGAGAAGGGAGAGCCGGGCGCCATCCTGACAGGGGACGTCCCTCTGGAAGGACTGAAGGGAGAAAAGGTAATTATGTCACCAGACCCCAAAGCACCCATCTGCCTCGGGCTTGCTTCTTTGTTTCTGCCTCAGTGTTCCTCTGAGTGACCAGTATGTATCTCCCTCTTTCAGGGTGAACCCGGAATGCATGGAGCCCCAGGACCCATGGTAAGCCAGAGCACGTCTCCATTGGGTCTGCTCTGGAGTCTGAGGCATTTATTCTAGTGGGGGTTGATTAGATTTAGTTGTGAAATGACATGGGATGTGGCAATATGCACGTGTATTAGAGCAAGTGAACTGCAGTTAAATGGCAGTCTCAGTGGTTTAACACAACAGCAACTTATCTGAACACTTGACAAGTCTATTGTGGTGGTTCTCAGTTGGGCATGTCCCCTCCAAGCAGTGACTCAGAGACCCAGGAGATTCTTTCGTCCTGTGCCTGACATCTTGTAGATTCAAGGTCGTACCAGTGTCTTTCAGCCAGTAGGCTGAAACGGGAGTGGGAAGAGACCGTGGAAGACAAGTATTTCTAGTACATTCCATTGGCCAGAACTCAGATGCCTGGGACCTCCGACATGTAGTTTAACTGTATACCCAAGAAAGAGAAGAGTCAGATGATGGCAAGCACTTTCAGTTCTATGATAATATTTGCCAAGGAATTGCTAGTGCTGCAGGGAACTCCTTGAAGGAACCCCATTAAATCTCTCTGGGTTTTCTGGATTCTGGTTCAGAATGGCCACCATTGTCTGTGAGACTGAAGCAAACTCTGTTCTGTCTCTGGGCTTCTATTTTCCCCATCTGTAGGTTGAGGGGATTGAATTAATACTAGATGATGTTACGTCCATCATACAGATCTCCCCAAGAAACGAAGGTCATTCAGGTAGAACATCTAGGAAGGGTCAGACAGTGCACTGCCACTTCACATAGGTCATCCCATCTCATCCTCACAGCCCTAAGAGTGAGTATCAGGACCCCATGTTATAGACAAAGAACTGAGACTTAAGGAGGTTAAGTAAACGGCCCACTGTCACACAGCTTGAAAGCGGCAGGGTGGGAATTTGAGGCCAGCTCGTCTGACTCCATCCAGGCTATTTCAAACACACTGCCTCCAATAAGTAAGCTGCCCTTGATTCATTCGAAATAGTTTGAGCTGGAGAATTGTACATGGGGTTTGTTCATCTGAAGCTGATCTAGGCCTGGGGAGGGAGGATCACATAGTTGTGTAACAGCCGCATGTCCTTGATAAATAGCCCATAACCTGCAGGGTGCATCCTTCAAAAGACCTCTGAGGTTTTGGGTCCCTTAAGTCAGGCACGGTGGACACCCTGGAGCTGGGTAACTGAAAGCTAAGGCAGACTGAGAGAGTCTTATTTAACCACTGGCTAACCAGTTGTCAACCTCCAATATGGTGGGAAATACACACAGCTGGTTCTAGTAGCCAGCAGGCTGCTGTGGATGCAATGCTGTTGTTCCAGTGAGGCCCAGCTTGTGCACAGCCTGCCAAAGATAGGCATAAGGGGCTGTTTCTTCCAGCTTGCACAGAGACGCCATGTGGGGTAGCTGTGGCCCTCATGACTAATACAGCTTACAGCTCCTTTTCAAATTCTACAGAGTGTTGTTACTCAAAGTGTGGACCAGCATCAACATCACCTGGGAGCTTGTTAGAAATGCAGACCTGGAGGCTGCACCCCAACATTCTGGATCTGCATTGAACAAGATTCAGTGGGAGGTCTTACACTAGGACCGACCTGCCAAGTGGCCTGTGCCCTGTCAACCCCTTCTGTATTTGCTTTTCTTTCCCAACGAGTGATATGACCTGGGTGCTTTCCATACAGACCCTGGTTCAACTCAGTCTTTATTTTTGCCGTGTTTCAGGGCATAACTATAGGTGTTAATGGTAGCAGGAAGAAGGGAGAGTGCACAGCCGTTTGCCTGAGAGACAGACAGGCCCAGCTCTCGGCATGGGAAGGTGTAGTCTAGATGTAGAAAATGTTCTGGGAACAGTCGCAGCGTCACAGGCTTTGTGGGCCAAGAAGTCGGTGTCCCAGGTACTGGAAGACATGAGGCTTCCTGCAGGAGTTGGGAGCAGGGCCATTGCTCTAGGAACATGTGGACTTAGAAAGCCAGCACTGGGGGCCAGCAGGTGGTACAGTGGTTAAAGTGCAGGACTCCCATATGGCTGACCATGGTTTGAGTCCTGGACCTCGCAACTTGCCTTCTCACTTTCTCTTTCTGTGTCTCTCTCTGGTCAAATTAAAAATAATGATAATAAAATAAAGTAAAATATATAATTCTTTATAAATAAATCAATTCTTTTCAAAAAAGAAAGAAAGAAAGAAAGTCAGCACTGAAATAGGACCCGTGGCCAGAGACCACTGGAGGACTGGGAGGGAGGGAGCGAGGCCAAGATTCTGGTTCTGGGGACAGGTGGGAACAAGACGGGGACCAAATCCTGGAACAAGTTATCAGGCAGGGCCGGCAGGAGGAGGGAGGCAGGGCTACATTATTCAGCATGGGGGACCTGGTGGGCCCTGGGATATAGGACAATGACAATGGTCTGTGTTTAAGCTGGCTTAGCACCTGCTACCTGGGAGGTAAGGCCCTGAGCACCAGACCTTCTCCTCCTTGGTCGGCCCTGACTGCAAGGGGTCAGGCTCAGGGTTGGGGAGGGAGAGAGCCTGCAGGGAAGTGGGGCCTGAGCAAGGGTTTCTAGCTGAGAGCAGAGGGTAGGACACATGAGCCAGGCAGGTATATGCTTTGTAATTGCCCCTTGCCCTCCTTCCTCCAATCAGTGCCTTACCGTCATCACTGCTGCAAACGTAGCTGAGCTTCCTCGTCTCCCTGAACCCTAAGCTGCTGTTCTTTTCTGATCTGGTGTTTATTTTGCCTCTAGGGGCCCAAAGGACCACCGGGTCATAAAGGAGAATTCGGCCTCCCTGGACGACCTGTAGGTATCAGTGTTCCTCGGTCCAGCGGTAAGGGAGGACACAGGGGCCGGGCTGGCCTGTGGGCAGAGAATGGTTTGCTAAGATGCTTCCTGTGGGTTTCAGGGTCGCCCTGGACTGAATGGCCTCAAGGGCGCCAAAGGAGATCGAGGGATCATGATGCCGGTGAGTGCCATGACCACGGTTCCCAGCCCGTCACCTGGGAACCTGGGTGGGGTCCAGAGGCTGGTGTCCAGAGGAGGGGTGAGAGAACGGATCCAGTGAGCAGGGCTTGCAGGCTGTACATCCTGGAATGCTATTCTTCTTCCTCCACCACCACTTCCAGGTCTTCCCACCCAGCCCTGTCCTCCAGCTGGCCCTCGGGGGGGCCCTGAGCATTCCCGTCTAAGTGGAGCAACCTGGGCATATCAGGAAGTGTGGTTCCAAGTCCCGGGTCTTCTGACTAATATCCCCGCTTCCGTCCTTTACATGGTCCCAGCGCTTGCTCACGTCGCTAGGGGCTCAGTGAAGGCTGTGGCATACTGAGGCAGATCGTCTCACTGGGTAGGGCCTCAAAGGCTGGCAGACTCAGGGTGTCAGCAGGGCCCGGGGTTTAGGAGAAGTCAGCATTGCCTGAGAATCTACTCTGTACCAGACACTGTGCAAAGTGCCTTTAAGGGCAGTTTCTCACTTGGTCTTGGGGACGACTATCTCAGGGGACACTCTTTGGAGTCCTTGTTTTATACCAGAGGAAACAGGGGCCTGTAGAAGTCAAGACACCCTCTGAGGCTCACCCAACCAATAAGTGCCAAACCGAGATGCAAGCAGAGCGCTAGGCCTGCTGCTTCTGTTTGAACCACACATCCTGCTCTACTTGGTGCATCCAGAGACCCAGAAATGCACTCTACTGACACCTCAGGGGTCTGTCTCACACCGACGAAGCCCACTGGGACTGTTAGGTCAACTGGACACTGGTGCTTCATTTAGTGATCAAAAGCAGCTTCCACATGGACTAGGTGGCTCACGCCTGCCTGTCAGAGCCTCCCCTGCCACAGGGTCCCGTGAGGGCCGCAGGGTTGGAGGAGAAATGCTATGTGGTATTTAAGCCAGGCTTACCCGGCTTTAAAAATTGGCTCTGCTGTGGCGAGCAGATGGTAGAGCAGTTACATCGCTGGATTCCCGCATGGCTGACCATGGTTCGAGTCCTGGACCCGGTGGCTTGAAACTTATGCCAGAGATGCGTGCTTGCATACCCAGGAGAACGGAGAAGGGATTATGGCATGGGCATCCCCTCTAGGGGGTGATTTCTCACTTTCCCTCTCACTGTCTCTGTCTCTTACTCTCTCCAGCTATCTCCGTCTCTTTTACTCTTTCTCCAGCAAACACATGCACCCAAGGCAAAAACTTCTAAAAAAGAAAAAAGAGAGAGAGAAGAAAATGGCTCTGTTGACTGATAGAGTTTTGCATTTATTTTTTGATGAGACATTCTCTCAGGCACTGTATTACCTAAGGGTTCCCTGCCCTACCCCATCTCCACACTAAGGAATTCACTGATAGAGAAGTGGGAAGCTCAGTATTGACCAAGCACTGCTCTGGGAGTTGGGATCTGGGTTCCAATCCCAGTTCCTCCGTTAAGTTGCTGTGTGGCCCTGAGCAGGTCACTTCCCTTCTCTGGGCTTCTTTATCTGCATATGTCAATACTTGTTGCTCTGCTATCTCCCCATGGTTTGTTGTATAGACACAGTGTGATCACAGATATAGAAGTGCCTGGGTTACCCCGGGGAGAAGCTGTGGGCTTGGGGGACCCTCTTTACCTCTCTGCGTCCCCAGGCCCTGGGGGAGGTCTCCTGT